TTGCCCTGAAACTGGTTTGTATGCCCCAATTAATAAAAAGGAGGAAAAAGTGAGAGAAAAGCAGAGATGTAAAGATATATTAGTATGAAAATCTAATGCAAAAGTACATTTTTTGCTGGACCTTAATAGAGAAATATGACTTAGACGATGTCATCATATAGTTGTTACTGTCTGACGGATGTTTTATAAAAGGTTTTGATACTATTTTGTCACTATTCCTGATATGCAAAATTTCAGGCAGAAAAGGAGCCAATTTTAAGCAGCTTCTTGTATGCAAGCATATTGTCACATCACTGTTTAGAGCAAGCATTGGCATTTGTCCTTGCCAATCGTCTGCAGAATCCCACACTTTTGGCGACACAATTACTAGATATTTTCTCTGATGTAATAATGCATGATCGAGGCATTCAACGTTCAATTCGCCATGATATACAGGTGTTTAATTGGCACCACAAAGTCGTTTCAATTTTCTTATGAAAGTTGTAGTCATGTTTTCTGGTTGATATGGTTCTTACATGCATTCTTTTATTTCTCAGGCATTTAAAGATCGGGATCCTTCTTGTTTGTCATATTGCTCTGCTCTGCTATACCTGAAGGTATTGCTTTCCAATCTTCCACCACATTTCATTTGGTTGACTAACTTTTCTTCTAGTATTAGTTTGCCAGTATGTGCCATGACATTACTGAGCCTGTTGTGGCTTATTTCTCAGTGAAAAGAACTAGTAATTTGTGTTTGTAATATATATGTATTATGTTAGATTCATTTATGTGACTTTTAAAAATTGATATGGGTGAATGTCTAGTCTTAAAAGGGCAGCCCAACTGGTCAGAATCTCTGTATCCGGCAGATGAAGAAGTTGTTAGGCGTTACATAGAATGTGTTTAACTACATTTTATTTATATGTTTAGTTGGTATTGGTTCACATATTCTCATACTCAGATCCGTATAAAACATATGTTTGTAGGGATACCATTCTTTACAAACACATCGAGTTGCACATGCATTATGGAACCAAGGACGCAAAGTCTTGGCATCAGCTTTACAAAGTCGTGTCAGTGAGGTAGTATTTGGTTCTTGTACGCTTCAGTGTGGATTGAATGTTCAGATTCCAATGTGGATTGAATGTTATGATGTTTGACAAGATTAATTTTGCATCTCCAGGTTTTTGGAGTTGACATACACCCAGGTAATATTTATTTACTTTAGTTTTTTGCACTTATGTGATATATTCTGCTGCTTGAGTTATTTATTTTGTTCAGAAACATAAGTATATATCATAATAAGTTAGCACCCGAACTTTTACTAATCAATTGCCTGCTTGTGCTTAAATTTGCTTGCTTTCTGATGCCTCATTTGGGGGCCACTATTAGAAGTACTTTTTGTTTGAATTTTTTCTTTGAAAGTTTGGAAATGTTTTGAAAGACGTTCAGAGATAGTTAGCAACAAACTTCTTGATGAAGCTTAAGTCTTGAGCTTTTGGATTTGAGAAACATTTCAATATATGACGCCATGCTCTGAAATGGGCACCAGGTCTCATCTACTCTCCCTCATGCTTGCTTTTTTGTACAGCTGCAAAAATTGGAGAAGGAATTCTCTTGGACCATGCTACTGGTATAGTGATTGGTGAGACTGCTGTTGTTGGGGATAGAGTTTCGCTAATGCAGGTAACAGTCACTTTTTCTATCATTGACCTGTATAGCTTTGAATGAGAAAGCTGTTAGGTTGTTGGAGTTTCAGTTGTAAATGGCCTCCAGGATTTGTACTTCGGATGATACCAGATAACAAAATCTCAATTCCTGGCCTCCTTGCGGGGGATGAAGAGTGAGTTTATGTGCCTAGAAGTGCATGTTCTTAAAGAATAAAGAACTGTTGTAAAGTTGCTCAAGCTGACCGCTAACTGAAAAAGAAAAGTTGGTCGTCAGGTGATCTGGTTTTGAATAATTTTGCTAGGACATTAAGAGAAAGATAAAAGATTGAATAAGAGAAAGTAGAAATAGCTTCTGGTATGTAGAAAGGGTGGAGACAATGATTTCAGCATCCAGGAACTACCTTTCACATGTTCATTTAATGGTTCAATTTGTTCTTCCAGGCACCTCTGCACCAGTATTAACTTGAAATTTCTGATGAGTTTCATGTGTATTTTTCCCTTTAATTTTGTTCCAACAAATTTTCTGTCCATTTCAAGGTACTAGCATTGTGGGGGAGGTGGTGGTAGTTTTTGGTTTGGGGGAGGGGAGCATTCTTGTTGTTTACCAATTACCACTGCAGATTAAGAGTGACAGTGTGCTTGTTACTTTACGAAATAGTAACTGACAGTAGCCGAAAATAGACAATCAAGAATAGGATACAAAATGCTGCAATTAGTATGTTAACAGAATATAATAATCTTGCAAATTCTTCTTTACAACTCTTTGATTGTTTCTCATTATCTTCTCTTCATTTTGTTAAAATCTTGCAGGGCGTAACCTTGGGAGGAACTGGAAAAGAAATTGGTGATCGGCATCCAAAAGTTGGTCAAGGTGCACTTATAGGAGCTAGTGCAACTATATTGGGGAACATAAGAATAGGTGAAGGTGCAATGATAGCTGCTGGTGCCCTGGTACTAAAAGATGTCCCTCCTCACAGGTAGAGTCCAGTTCTGTGATGTGCATTTATGTTGTCTGCTAGAATCGGTGCCATTACTTATTAGTGAGTCTTAGGTGTTCACCATTTCTACACAATTATGACCGTGTCCTTTTGGTTTGAAGCATGGTGGCCGGAATTCCAGCAAAGGTGATTGGTTATGTGGATGAGCAAGATCCCTCTCTAACAATGAAGCATGGTATGTCAGCCACAAGTTCGTCTATATTTGGTTAACTATGCTTTACTGGGCAGATAGCTTGTGCCTGCTCCAATAAACATGAAAACTTTCGAAAATGCATTCCCCTTCTTTCATGTTAACTAACAAACTATGAGGTTTAAGGGGAAAAGGAAGGAGAGAGAGTTACTAATAGTTTATCTATTTATTTATGATTCATCCAGTCTAACTCTTAAATAGATCTATGAAATGAAGTACTTTGGCTGGTTGGAGTGTGTAAATTGGACAATAGAATGACAACTACTACATGTTGGTTTGCCTTCCACATTGTCCCCTGTATTTCACGAAAGTAATGGTTATCAAACTGTGACAAGTGAAACTCATTACAGGGATGTCCTGCTGAATATAAAGAAAACAAGTTTACATCTTTGCAATGTTTTCTGCAAGTTGGAGAGTTGATCTCCCTTCTAAATCATGCAGCTATCAGAAAACACAAAACCTGATTACTGGTATTTTTTATTTACCAACTTTCGCTTGTCTTTTTCTGTCCTCTGTGTGCAGATGCCAGTAGAGAATTTTTTGAATACATAGCTGCTCGTTCCAGTGGAGGCAGATCTTCTGGTGAGATTTCTGCTAGTTTTGGTTTGAACAACTCATTTGTTTCGTAATATAGTCCTCTTCTTCGAGAAGTGTATGTATACTCCATTCTACTTGAGCAAAGTGGGTAGAAATCTACTTTCCTTGTGAATGGATATGTTGGAATGAACATCTTTTAAATCTCTCATTCTGATTCTTTCACGCGTTTGTTTGCAGAAATGATTGGCCCTCGAGAAAATGGAGGTACATCCAGAGATGCACAAGTAGAGACCTAAGTGCTGTCGAATGCATTTCCCCATTTACTTCAACAACTGGGGTGGAGACGTTTTTGTGTTTTCACCCTGTCAATTTCAATGTCATAGGAAAATAAAAGTTAGTCAGAGATTGGATAGACCACTCAATCATGTAAATGCCTGTAGTGTGAGGAGATCTAAAATCGCTTGACGTGATTGATGGATTAGTTTGACGAATGCCCCTTTTTTTTTTTGGTTCATTTCTGATATTCATTGTAATTCTTCTCATGTATGATGATGAAAATGCTTCACAAAATGCGTCTCTTCCGAATAACTATCAATTGCAGTTGAGGGAATTTGAGTCGGACATTTCCTAATTTACTACCATCAACTTGGGATCAACTTGGGGCCTTAATCCCTTGTAGCTGTATGATGAAAAGATGAAGTTTAATTATTTAAGGGAAACTGTCATGTATTTTCTCCATCAAAGCGTACAGGAGTTGGACATTAAGACTCTCAAATTGTTAACTGTTACAGCTCAACTAGTCAACTTTAGTTGCTTTTAAATGTTGTAAAGGCTGATAGTATTAGATTGACTCTGAATAATATATGTGTGTGTGTGTGTGTGTGTGTGTGTGTGTGTTTATACATACACATATACATACATACATACATATATATATATATATATATATATATATATATTCTCATTTGCTTTTGTGCTTTGATTAAATCTAGCCCAAAACTAAAATTGAAAATTCACCTAAGAGTAACTTTAGTTGAATTTATTTTATGTTAATTTTTTTTTTTTGGTTTTATAATCATCTTCCTTCCATAATTAAAGCAACAAGAACAGGCCTTAAAAGTCCTTTAGTCATCGTATCAAACCTTATTAGATTTGCAATAATTTATAACTCAGTTGGATTATTTAGGGGTATTTAATTGAACTTCATCAATATCAATAATTTCTCCTTTGCTCTTTGTTCCTTTTTTTTAATACAAAAATAAATTATTAAAAGAACCCTTTACCAGCTTGGTTCTACTAAACTCGTGACCGTCAACGAAAGAAACGCCAGAGCTCAGATGAGCACGAGATCTAATCTCGTGCCCGAGTTCTCCCTCCTTTCCCCAAAAGTCTCCGCAATTACAAAAAAATCCACTCCCAATTGTGTAATAGTACTTGTAAAGTACTACTAGTGTCGAATTGGACAAAACGAAAATTAGGGGCTGAAAATTCTGAATCAATCCATCCAAATCCAAGCAATCAATTCCGGGACATACTAGACGTTTTTGGGGCACTGATAGATCGAGGGTGCTCCAACTGCCGGGGCTGATTCTCATTTGTTCCAAAAGGTGAAAATTTTCTTCTTATCTCATATTCTAAACTGTAGTTTCTTTATTATTTTTTTTTTTTGGAATAGCTCGTTTAGTTTTTTCAAGATTCTACAATAATGAACCTGTATTTCTTGATTGTATATGTATGAGCATTGAATGTACGAGGTAGTTTGGTAAAATGTTCCCGCGGAAATTATCTAATATAGTCGAGGATGGATCTGATTGATGTGATGTTGTAATTACCCCAGTAAAGTTCATTTGAAACTTATGGAAACTGGGCTTGGTTTATATTGGTTGCCAACTTGGGAAGAATTGGGAAGGCCATTTACTACCAGCTAGTATATCATGGTTTTTATGTCGACTAAGATTCATTATTCAGTTATTAGTTGGTGATGAACGATCACACTCGTAAAGGGCATGGATTTTACTTGAGGTCTTTACAAGGGTGGTCTGCAATCATGAATCACATTGTGGATTACTGGATGCATCTTGTACTTGTACTGAATTTTTTTAAAACCCGTGTGATTATATTGGGTTGGAGCTATAAAGTTCCCATCTTTTTATGTTTCATTATCTCTGATAGCAAGTCTCACTTGATACGGTTTCAAAATTCTCGGAAATATGAAGTAGAGTAATTTATCACAAGTTGCATTTCGTTCTTAGTTTCTCAGTAATCGCTTTGGGATATGAGATTTGTGCTTTTGGGTAATTGCTTGGTGGCTGAGCAGATGCATCCGTGGGATACTGAAGTCTGGAATAAACTTCTGACTGCTAAACTTCCAATTTCATCAACTTGAACTTTGATCCTTTTTTTAAGAAATTTCTAGTTTTGTTTTTCCCCCTTTCTCCTTAGAACCTCAAATTTAGTTCTCAATTTGGTCTGGTAGCTTGCACTATTTTGTTTTGATTGTTTACAGTCACTTATATGACAACTTCTCGACTTTATTGATTGCAATGTGATTGCTTTGGAATAAATGTCTCTTTCATCAACCATGCACTGAGCAATTGGATATTTGCTTTTGTCTTCACTTGATTTCATCAGTTTCTAGGTGGCACCGGGATTGCTATTTGCATGTGCCCTTAAATAAAGAAACAGGAAAAGAAACAAACAACCACACTGCTTTGGGATCCACTGTAATAATGTCCTCAGAAGAAGCACAGATTGCTGAATCTGTTGAAACACTGGAGAAAGATGCCACAACACCAGAGAAACAGTTAGTTGACATAAACAATGGTAGGGAGGGAGAACTTGTGATAGCGAATGGATCACACATTAGGGATCAAGAGATTGGTGACAGTCATGACAAACTTGTGCAAATGGTTGTGGAGCTCAATTTCCAGAATGAGTACTTGAAGTCCCAGTTGATGGGACTGAAGAATCTCCGCTTGGATTCTAATGGGATCACTCCTCATAAAGAAACTGTGGTGGCTCAAGAAAAAAGTGATGGTGTGAAAGAGCTTGAAGAACAGATAGAATCCTTGAGGAGAGAACTTTTGGAAGAAAGACAAACACGAGATGCTGCAGAGGAAGCCCTCAAGCACCTTCGAGCAGTATATTCTGAGGCTGATGCAAAGGCCCAAGAGCTTGCTGCTCAACTGGCTGAAGGTTGTGTGCTTCTTTTATATCTATGTTAACTGGCTCTTCACTTCTTTGAAATGATAGGATTTGATTCCTTTTCTGTTTTCTTAAATGCTTGGTTAAGCTCTTAAATGAATTGAACCATCTCTGCTCTAGTTCTAGGTTTTTGGGTTACCTTGTAAATCTAAACTCATTTACTGGTTTATTTGGCATAGCTCAACAGAAGATGGATCAAGAAATTAAACAACGTGATGAAAGATACTCAGAACTTGATTCCAAATTGAACAGGCTGCATAAACGAGCAAAGCAGCGGATTCAAGAGGTTCAGAAGGTAAATTTTACTTCTTTTTTTGTTATATAATATTATCAACAGTTGACATTGTAGACCTTTTTTTGCTTTGTGTGGTATTTGGTTTTTTTAAATATTTATTGCATGCATCTTTTCATTGATCTTATTACAAATCTTTGGGGGCCAAGATTACCTCGCGTGTTTTTTCTTTTCTAGAGAATGAGGTGCCTATTTAGTGGGAGACTTTTCCATCCTGCATTGCAAAGTTGTCATTTGCAAACTAATGAGAACTAAGTTATATCATGTACGTTTCAGGTTTCTTAATCTGAACAAGTTAAATCTCATGTCTTGTATGTTCTGCTGTAAGAAATTTGGTGGTAGCTCTGGTAATTTTGAGGTGTCTTGAAATAAACTGTTTCTATGTGTTTTCTCTCACCATTTTCCTTTTCTTTTGCACAACATCGTACCATTATGAGTAGTGATATTATATGGTGATATACACGCTCAACTTGATTCAAACTGTACTTTGTCTTCAGGCCAAATTCAGGGTCACAAAGATTAATTTCTGTTCAGGCATTAAGTTAAGTTTGTATTTGGAGATCTTGTTTCCAGGAAAAAGATGATCTTGAGGCCCAATTTCGTGATGCCAATGAGAAGGCTGAACAGTCATCATCCCAATTATCAGCAGTACAGCAAGAACTTGAGCGCACGCGCCAGCAAGCAAATGAAGCGCTTAAAGCAATTGATGTTGAGAGGCAGCAATTACGAAGTGCAAACAATAAGTATGTCCCCTATATAGCTCTAAATTGGAAGTCATCCTGTAATTTAGTAATTATTGAGGATTCTTGAATCTACTTCTTGAAGACATGATAGGATTCTGATGAACTTTTGGTTAGGCTTTAATGAATAAAATTCATTTCTTGTTAAAATGAATGAGTATTTGATGGTCCATCTGGTTATAACAGCCTATGTACCTACTGGAATGAATGAATATATGTTCTTTAGTCCCATGAGTATTTATTTTCTTCCCTTCTTGCTGGTCATATGATGATATTCTTCTGTTGGCTTGCGCGTCTAGGCTTCGAGACAACATTGAAGAATTACGTCATTCATTGGAGCCCAAAGAGAATGTTCTTGAGGCAATGCAGCAATCGCTTCTGGAAAAAGAGCAGGTATAGAATAGTAAACCGGTCGTCTTAACTTACAGTTCCAAAAAGCTATGAACCGTTGACTGTGCATTTGACTGTAATCCATGCCAGTCTATTACATGATATTCGGAGACCAAAATTATTTGCGTTTGTATAATTACAGATGTTGGAAAACATGCGAGGATCATTACAGGCAGCTGAAGAGAAAAGGCTAGCTGCGATGGCTGAACTCTCTTCAAAGCACCAGATGGTAAACCCATACAGATGCTTGTGAAAAGATTATATGTGTCCTTGAATTGACATTTTCTCTGGCTTATTCACCAGTTTGTTTTCTAATAAACAAAAATGATATCTTGGTAATTATGCCCCCTCTTCTACTGCAGCAAATAGAGAGTTTGGAAGCTCAGATAGCAGATGCATTAGCTGAAAGAAGTAAAGCTACCGAAACAATCTCATCTTTGAGGGTAAGAACTGTTATATCTTTTTCTCTGCATCCTTCCAATTTATAATGTGAAACAGATATTTTGCATTTCTACCTTTCTGGAAAATAGGAAGTTGCAACATTGAGGTCCAAGCTGGTACATCTGCTGAAAAAGTTTTCCTCTCTCATCTGAATACATATCAGTATATAGAGTAGGAGCATTTATTTCCATGCTTGCACTGTTTTTGCTTTCCATGAATTCTTTGCTTTGCTTTTCTTGTTTACATTTGCCTTATATATACAATATTAGCACAGTGGATCAACCGCATTTTGTTGGTGCTTCAAAATTTTCAAGTACTGAATGAAGTTAGCTGTTGTGCACTGTCTCTTTTTAGGCTTTGGTTGCTGAGAAAGAGTCTAAGATTGCAGAGATGGATGCAGCTTCAAGTGGTGAAGCAGCACGACTCAAAGCTGCTGTTGAAACTGTCAAAGGGGAGCTTATACACCTGAAAAGTGAGCATGTATGAGCTCAAAATATAGTAATATTAGCATGGTCTTCCGCTAACATGAAAGCCTGGACCATATTGTGTTTTGATGCTTTCTTAGTGCATGGTACCATATTCAATCATCATTTTCATGCTTTGATTGAATTTGCTAATAATTACTGTTCATAAAAGGTTTGCTAATATTAAATGTATAGCTTTTCCAATGTCATGTACATTGATCGAATACAATTCTGTAAGCATCTAGCAAAATTTACAATCCTTCTTGCATTGACACATCTGAGTACTTGATATCAAATATGTTATTCTTTTTAGCTTTACTTATCACCCATGATTTCAGGAAAAGGAAAAGGAGAGTTTGGAAATGGTCTCTCAGTCACTCAGGATGAAGCTGGAGACTTCTGAGAGCAACTATATACGTGCAGAAGTTGAACTTGCCAAGATGAGAAGTATATACATAAATCTTTATAGTCTTGATTGTCATCCGTTCACAATCATAAGCTTATGGCTTTTTCCTTATGCCTCAGGTCAATTGGAATCAGAGTTGTCTGTGCAGGCTCAGCTCATAAACCAAAAGGATTCTGAACTTTTGGCAGCAAAAGAGGAGGTAAGAAGTATTGTTGAAGGATATTAATTTTGCTGCAATTAGTGATTTCTGAAAATTGAAACTGCTCTAGTTGTTTGAGGTCGATCCATGAAATCGTGTATAACCATTTGAAGGGAATCTATTGTTGGGCATTGTTGAAGCCTTGGTCAATCCATGGAAGCCTGCTGTGGTAGCCACTCCCTTTGCATATTGATGCTCTGTCATTAACATGCTCTGAGTCTAGCCTGGCATTGTTTATGTGTCAGTAGGTTCATTGGGTGAACAGGACATCATGGATGTCTAATCTATGTAAAATGATTAATAGCAAAATAGGGGGAAAAAAAAAGAAACAAATGAAGGCGAAGAAAAACTGCTAATTTTCTAGAAATGTTAGATTTTGAGGAATTTTTCCCAGAGTACCCTGTCATGAGCATATACCATACCAAGTTCTCATCAAAATGATAATTCCAAAAAAAATTCTTGGCTATCTGGAAAATAATTTTAAACAAGTAGAAATAGATGTGATATTCCTTGTGGTCTGCCCTTGGTTGATTCCCATGTTATCTGCATGGGTTTTACTGTAGAAGACTCTTTAAATTTGATTTTCTTGCATGGTGTACTGAATTTTTGCAAGAGATACCACTTGTGCATGTGAAAAGTTTACTTTGAATCTTGTGAAAAGGAAATAAGGGGATCATCCTTGATGCTATTCAAATTGGTGTTCAGAAAAGCTCTTTTCTAAGTTGATGTTGTCTGCACAATGGTTGTGATAGCGCATATATTGAGCTATCACTTAAATTGTCTTGTATTTGTAGAAGCTTCCTCTTTCTTGTGGCTGAAGTACTTTCTGCTTTTGTTAAAATGTCTTCTGTTTGTCGCCTCTCTTCTTTTTTGAATTTCTCTTATGTTGTGCTGTGCAGATCAGCCGGCTAGAGAGTGAATTTTCCTCTTATAAGGTCCGGGCACATGCACTTCTTCAGAGGAAAGATTCTGAGCTAGCAGCTGCAAGGGAAAATGAACAGTTGAAAGCCCTTGAGGAGGCTTATAAAGTATGTACTAATAGTATTTATTGTGTTGAAATTGAAAGCTGAGCATCATTTGTGTCATATTCACATATTCAAATTTGTTCATTTTTCAGGAGGCTGAAAAAGAAATATTGCTTTTATCTGCTGAGAGGGACAAAGCCCTCCAGGATCTGCAAAATGCTTTGGCTAGTCATGCCAAGGACCTTTCTGCAAGGTGAAATACTTTCTGTGGTCATATGCTGGCGTCTGAACGAAAACTTTGTGTTTGGCTGTATAACTGCTTTGTAGTATCTCGGATAATTTGTGCACTTGCAGACCTGGAAGACAGTGGCTAAAAAAATGTTAAAATTGGTTGTTATATGTTAGATTGATTAGTTCCATCCTTTGAAACTCTACTACCTCTCCTACTCCTGAATAGTGGCTGCTTGTGAAGTAGAAGAGTCTTTTCACTTTTGAAAAAGAAGCTTAGATGGAATTCTCTGTGGCTAAGTTAAGAATTAACTAGCAGTGTGATTTGTATTGGAGATAATAAGTCTTATACTTTGCCATATGTAAATTAAACAGAAAGACTGTCAAATTTTTTCTCAAATTTCACTTTCTTGGCAGAGATGAAGCACTTAGCATTGCGGAGCAACAGGTTAAGAGCATGGAGATCAAGCTAAGCTCTGCTCTTTCTAGCCACCGGTCAGAAAGGGAGGCATGGGAAGTAAACCTTCAAAATGTGGAAGAAACATGGCGATGTATGTTGAACAGATATAGATTTGATTTATGACCAGTTTATTCATTATATCATTTGCAGTTCAGGTTTTCAAGAGTTTGAGATAACACTTTTACTTGATCTACCAGTGAGGTGTGAAGTGCTGAAGGCTGAAAATGAGGTGTCCTCTGGTCAAACTCTCCAAAAGGAACTTCAGGACATTAAATTACAAAATAAGAAGTTGAAGGTATTAATCCTTGTATTTGTATTTTAACATAGAGATGCCTGATGCCTCACTGACCTCAATGTTTTCATAATTTGTAGGATGACTATCATTCTTTTCGTGAACTTGCTGATAGAATGATGGAGGAGAAGGACAAAGAGATTTCAAGACTTCTAGATGATAACAAGAGCCTTCGTCAGTTGTTAGATTCAAGGCCATCGGTATCTATCTATGCTCTGTTGGGATATTTGTGTTACATAGTATCTGTGTTGGATGCAGTCATGTTTATTGTTTGCATGGTCGAAATTAGGGAACTCTTTTTTTAAGATGTAGGAACAGGTAAAGTTAGCTTACATTATGAGCAGCAACTCATAAGGCTCCTCTATAACATGGTCATCTTCCAGATAACAAGTACAGTCCTAATTAGAAGGTTGTTGATGCATAACTATATTGACCTATATGTGCAAATAATGCTGACTATGCCTGATTGTGTCTTCTGGTTTGTCCTTGCTTTTTCTGTGCGTATTCAACCTTCATATATTCACCATTCATCTATCTGGATACCTGTCTTCCTTTGTTATTTTTTTTTGGGGGCAAAGTATGCTCTGTTTGAACTGGCATTGTGCTACGTTCTTATGTTTGATAATTTTTTTTTTTCACATTCCCAGGCTGATCGCGTAGATATTGATGATTCAGGTATTATTTTGCCTCTGACTCGATATATTAGCAATGAGTTGCAATGTTCTTGTGAAACTGTCAATTCTATTATGCAATTGGCTTATGAGACAAAATTTTCATTCTGGAATTGATGAATGCAGGTCCTGGTAAAAACGATGCCCCAAATTCAAGTACCTCTGCAGCAGAACAGCAAATCCTAGTAAGCACAAAATTTCCCCGTTACATTCTGCTAAGCTGTTCCACATGAAAAGTTTCAGAGGAAGTTGCTACCCACCCTCAGCGGTTTCAAAAAAGATAGGCACTGCCACTGGCCAAAGCTACTTGGAACAAAAAATGGGAAATGAAGAAAATTTTTCTTAACAGAAAATCTGTAGGGGCAGAAGGTGAAAAATGTGTCATTGAAGATGGATGAATTGGAGAAAACTCTTCAATAACTGTGTCGTTTATATTTGTTGAACTGCATTATCATCTACGTTGGACTTCATAAAGATCAAAAAGTGGAAATAGTAAATTGTCTTAATGCATGAGATAAGCCGAAGTATGTCATACTATTTCTTAACTGTTAGGAAGATTAATTCCTCTTTTTGCATTATGTGAAAATAAGTATTGTTGAGTGCTTCAACAACTATGTTTGCTGATAGGTATTTGTTTTTCTAAACTCCAGATTTTGGCTAGACAACAAGCTCAAAGGGAAGAGGAACTTGCCCAATCACAACGGCACATTTTTGCACTTCAAGTAAGTTTTGTTCATCATATCTTCTATCAGTTTATTTACACAAATTTCAATTTTTCAACACCTTGTTTTCAGGAAGAAATTGAAGAGCTTGAACGTGAAAATCGTCTCCACAGCCAGCAGGTAGATTTGGTTTAAGGTTCTTTCTGTTGCTTTTATTGTATCTTGCTGTCAACTACTTATTACTGGATTTAAAAACCGCTGAGTTTGAATTCGTTATGAAATTGTTTACTTGGGAGAAGTTGAGTGTGAAAGGAGCATATATAAGCTACATGTGTATGATGTGTGATATAAATGTTGTTCCCCATCTTGTGGCTCATACTTTTACCTCTTTCTTTGTGTCAAGATTGTGCTGTGTTTGCATTTGATTCTCTTATATTTTGACTTGAATTTGACCATGATCTGTGCAGGTAGCCATGTTGAAGGAAGAACTAAGGAACATGGATAGAAAGCAGAAGCGGGAAGGGGTGGACTTGACATATCTCAAAAATGTTATTCTGAAACTTCTTGAGACAGGTTTTTTTTTTATTATTAATATTTTATTATGGGAAGGTTCTTTCTTGGTATTATCTTTCCCGCTTCTCTGTAGATCATTGGAAATGATGTTTTTTCCAGCAGTCTGTTAACATTTTCATCTTTCTGCTGTCTATGAATAGGTGAAGTGGAAGCTCTGCTGCCAGTAGTTGCAATGCTTCTCCAGTTTAGCCCAGATGAGGTGAATTATTTGCCTGATTGAAGTGTATAATTCTTTTTATTACTGCAAATGGGTGGCCTTTTCCTGCTAAGAAAGTATTGTATATGCATGTTCAGGTGCAGAAGTGTCAAAATGCTTACCGCTCTTCAACTGCTGCTCCACCTAGCCCAGCAAGTGATGGCGTAGGATCTGGATTGTCTCTCTTCTCTAGATTCTCATTTTCTTGACACCAGGAATGATGGCTGAAATTTTTGTTATGCCTTTTTATTTTCAAACAAAACGCCTTTTTTGTCAGAGCTGCAGAGTTATTGGGATTTTCCTCCTGTACCCAAAGGGAGTAATCCCATTAGTACAAATCTTGTAGCATCATTCTTCTTCCTGTGATGGTGGAAGTCTACTTCCTCCTTCACGGGACAGTACCGATATATGTAAGATAGATTTTGGAGTGTGAGAATGTTTTAGGAATACATCAGAAACCAAGAGGCAGCAGATGGACCCTTGACCTTGAGGGCTTTATCATGATGAAGTGATTTCCTGTACAGTCCAAACTTTGTAAAGTACGTTGATTGTTTTTGCAAGTTAATGGTACCATCTTGAATCCGCTTTTACTTTCATCAACTACTTGATCTTCAAAACAAGCAATTAATCTGCGCATGAGAAAAAGAGTTGGTGCTCTCATCTTTTAGTCTTCAGAAGTCCATTGACTCATGGTAAAATGATTATGTTTACTATAAATTAATCCAATACCAAGGACTATTAGTCTACATGTTCTAGGAGAAGATTCTACAGGTGCTTTATTAGTTCTTTTTACTCTTTGTTTTGGTTTACTATAAGATACAAATATAAAATAATAATAATATGCCTTTTATTCATATTCATTAGGTATGGAAAGCTTGCCTTAAGGAAATCAATTTTTTGAGTCAATTCCCAAACAAATGTTGTATTTCGTAGAATTCAACTCCTAGTTCAAGCCGATTTTTGAAACTCAATTTTTTTTTTTTTTTTATCTCCAAGCGTAGTTGAATTCCTCAAAATTGACTTCCTTTTGTTTCTTAACTCAATTTCTTCTTCTTTTAAGGGGGAGAGAAAAAAATTCTTCAAGTGGTATCAACTTTTCCCTTTTTTTTTTTAACTCTCAAGGTCAAGTCAATCTCCCCAAAATGAGATATTTTTTTTTTTTTAATCTCAAAATGAAGTCGATCTCCTAGAGAGGTAAATTTTTTTGAGTTAAAATTGTCGAATAATATATTTTTTTTAATTTTCAATTTTAGGTTAATACTAATTTCAGTCCCTGTTTACTAAGGAATCATACTCGAGATTCGAGAGCATAAGAAGACGTGGTTCTATTCCCCAACGAAACACGCCTTCTAAGTACATGGAAAGTTAGATTAAGGCGCTGTCAAGATCAATGTCAACAAGAAACAGGGGTAAAGGAGTTTCCAAGCAAAGGCTGCTTTTGGAGGAAATAAAAATATTTGAACTGAAGACTAAGGCATCCTAACCAGCTTTATACAAACAAGATTACGCAGCCTTTTCTGGGATTAGGATCTTTCAAGTGAAGCGGTAGCTATTCTAAGGTCTTTCTCTCTACTTCATTTGATCATACGTGATCCATGGATGGGTGTTCACTTTATGCAGTCCAATTGTTCGATGAAATGCTGTAATGGGATATCAGTTTTCGCTTATAGTACTGCTAATGGATATGTTTCATTGCAGACTGGATTTTAATGAGATTGTGAAACAAAGTTTGGCTTTCTAAGTGCACAGGACTTAAATTCAACAAACAGAGCATCATGTTTGCCACAGCAGTCAGGTATTTTTCGAAGAAACCCAAGCCTAAGATGAAACCCATAGAACTGAAAACCCCACCTGAGCAAACCCAAACCATCACGAGGGCTATTTTTGATATCCTCAAGGAACATGGTCCACTCACAGTTTCCGACACTTGGGAACGTGTTAAGGTATTCACTTCTCTGCTTAAGGTTGTTCATCATTTTCAGAATTATGTTTGGTGGATTTTGGATAATTTGATATTCTAGTTTAAGACCTAGCAAGAGCTCTTTGCAGCACCAGATTAGTGTTTTCTATCGAAAAGCATAGCTTTACAAGTGTTTTACGTTTGATTTTATGGCATGGGCAGGAAGTTGGATTAAGAGGATTGACCAGCAAAAGGCATATGAAAATAGTATTAAGATGGATGAGGGAGCGGCAGAAGCTCAGGATCATATGCAACCATGTAGGGCCCCAAAAACAATTTCTGTACACTACATGGTTCACAAAACCAAGCATCACAAAGATGAGGCCTACGAATGAATCCTCACGCCCCAAGTTGCCATAGAATTATGGAAGCCTGGTTAAGCAGCTTTTGTTCATCTATAAATGTTCTTATGCTTCATCTATTGTATTGCTTTCTGTTTCCCGTCAGAGGATGACATAGAAAATGCTGGTTCCTTCTTTCTAAGATGCATATATGCTTTTAGTTACTGCTACATGTTCTGGTAATTTGGTGAAGATTTGGCATTCATTCTGCTCGATGCCTTGAGCTTGAACAAGTCTGACAATGAGCTGCTCAAATAAGGGCAAATGATGATTGCATTCATTCCCGAACACTTGCCACACAGAATTATTAAGTGTTTTACTGAAGCTGCATTGTCGTTGGCTGGTAAAATGGTAGCGCTGAAACTCTTTTACTGAGTGTTATCGGGGCCAAAAAAAAAAAAAATCCCTTGAGACAGTTTCTGAACTACTACCAGCGCGTAATATGGAAAAGATGAAGCTTTTGCTAGAAATTCGGCTTATTCTGATCATTCTGATTAATCATCCTTGTATGCTAACAAGAACAGGTAGCATATCCTTCTATTGGACAACATACTTCATCCAGGACCGAAATTACAACTCAAATCTAGAGTGAAACTACAACTCGATTCTAGAGTATTCTTCAATTGCTAACCAAAATAAAGCAAGAATTCAAGAGACCGAAAAAAAAACCCCAAATGACCACAAAAACAGAACAAATCCCAGAACAAGAGATGTAATACTAATGCTACAAATATCTCTCAGTTCTCAATCATGCCTTGCCTGAAAATCTTTCATAAAAGCAACCAACTTTTCAACTCCAGCATAAGGCATGGCATTATATATCGAAGCCCTCATTCCTCCAACCGACCTATGCCCCTTGAGCTGCAGCATCTTCTCCTTAGCAGCCTCTTTAATAAAATCAGCCTCGAGCTCAGGCTTGACTAAAGTAAATGGCACATTCATCAATGATCTGACAGACTTCTCAACAGGGCATCTGTAAAACCCATTACTAGCGTCAATAGTATCATACAAAATCTGAGCTTTCTTCTTGTTCTTCTTCTCAACCTCCACCAATCCACCCTGAGCCAACAAGTCCTCGAAAACCAGCCCGCACATGTAAATCCCATAACAAGGAGGGGTATTGTACAAAGAATTATTCTCAGCGTGGATCTTATAATCCAACATTACCGGCGTAATCGGCTGAGCATTTCCAATCAAATCTTTCCTGATGATAACAATGGTCACCCCAGACGGACCAACATTTTTCTGCGCCCCAGCATAGATCAAGCCAAATTTAGAAACGTCGACAGGTTTCGAGCAAAAGTTTGAGGACATATCTGCAACAAGAATAGTATTCGGATCCTTGGGGGTAGGATAATCCTTGAACTCAACGCCGTGAATAGTTTCATTGGCGCATATATGCAGATACTTGGCGCGCGGGCTTTGTTCTAACGAATCAAAGCTGGGAATGTTCGTATACTTATCAGATTTTCCGCTCCAGATCACATTGGGTTTGCTGTACTTCGTGGCCTCTTTATAAGCCTTGTCGCCCCATGAGCCGGTGACTATGAAGTCGACGGTGTCGTCCGGTTGGCAGAGGTTAAGTGGGATGGCAGCGAATTGGGTGGTGGCGCCACCTTGGAGGAAGAGAACGGCGTAATCTGAAGGAATGTTGAGAAGGGTTCGTAGATCTGATTCGGCTTTTTGGATAATGGACAGGAAATCTTTCCCGCGGTGACTCATTTCCATGACCGACATGCCAGAGTCGCGCCAGATATAAAGCTCAGATTGAGCTTTTAAGAGGACATTTTCAGGGAGGGTGGCGGGCCCGGCAGCGAAGTTGAAGACCCGATCTGAGGAGGCGGAGGTTGACGGGGTGGTTGGAAGAGGGGTGGTTGTGGTAGCCGCGGAACACGTTATGGAGATGGGCTTCCGAGTGGTGGCAAGGCGGGAGAGGGTGGTGGTGGGAAAGGCGGCGAGTTGGGTGGAGGTGGGTTTGAGGGGGTTGGTTGGGTTTTTGAGGAGGAGGGAATGAGGGGTGGCGGCTGACATGGCCATAACCGGGGGGTGGTGATGGTGAAGTGGCGAGGGTGGTGGTTCAGTCCGCTGATCTGAGAGTACACTTTTAAAAACAAAGGAAGATGCGGTAGAAGTTGGTGGGGGGGGTGGTTTTGATTTGGTGTCTGTGTATGTATACAAAATTGGGGGCCTAAAATCCTCAAAAATCTGCTCCTTTGGATCTCCTGTTTAGTCCAAAACAATTGAACGAAAATGCTTTGCAGGAATAAAAGAAAAGGAACAATTTGCTTTTTGCTTCAATTCTTTCAGGGAAGGTGAGCATTATATTGGTAGGAACCCTTTTTGTACCTTTTTTAAGTCCTCCTAGTAAAACACGCTCTTGTCCATCACTATTAAGAACAAGCCGAGTCATTAAAGAATATTTATAAGCTTCAGATTTTCGGAGAATAATACTACTCACTATCTTGTTTGTTGATTTGCAAGTTAGAAAAGTGGTTTCTTTTTTCTGTTCGTGATACAGGAAGTATCCCAATTTTATTGGACTAATCTTTTTATACCTGTGCACCCCGTTCCAAAAATATACAGAACGGTCGTTAAAGAAGTGATTTCTTTCTTGGTAGATGTCTACTCGTTAGTATTTTTTACTCGTTGATTGAGCTTCCTATTTTTTACTTGTTGATTGAGCTGTACGGCTTACCAAAATATTTTAAACTTTGATAAGATGGTTTTTTGGATTTTTGTTGTTGGTCATGTGTTGATTTCATGTGTGTCTGGCAAGTAAGATGAAAAATCCAAAGTGTTTCTGCACTTGCTTAGATATGCCACTAAAAAAGTACATGTAAAGGTTAACCATAGACTAAAGAAATAAAAAAAAAATTTAAAAATGGAAATTTGAAGGTTAAATAAGAAAGTGGTGATTTTTGGCCTTTGTACATGTCACGGAGAAGTTGGTGTGTATTGTCTTGTAGGCCATGGGAGTAGGTGAGGTTGATAGCTATGAGACGACATCGTTTCACCATATGATGAGAACTGAAATTAATTCTGAGATGGAGTGGAGGAGTTGCTTACGTAATTTAATTTTGTAGGACTACCAATAACACGGGGCGGCGGCGGCGGCGCACTCTATTTGTTATTGCGATATCTTAAAATTTCAGATTCCATGGGATATATCCATATCCATCCATTTGAGTTACCCCTGCACACGAACACCAACCTCAGGGTTTCTGACAAATATTTCTTTTCTGAAATATGTTTTTGTGATATTTCCCTCCTTCCATCAACAAAATGCCTTTTAAAGATG